AATTTCTATAGGCAAACTTGTGCCCAGTTGAGCGACCACATGCCACAACAGCAACAGCAGCAACAACGACAGCAAGGAGAAAAGTTTGGTCGCAGCAAAGAATCATAAGAAAGACTTTGCTAAAGCTTTGCTTCAACACATATTTTGTTAATAGCCGCTATTAACTATGTATGTGTGTACGAGAACAACTTTAAGATATAAGAATTTCTTTAACCGATTTTCCTTCCTCTCCTCTGCAACGACTTTGTACGATTTCCGGCTTTGCTCCTGTGCCTGAATTTATACTTGCAGTTGAGACAGAGACTCATAAGCTGTATATAATTTGCCAGCGGAAAGCCGGTGAATGGCAAGTACAATACATTACCATCTGAGGAAGAAGAAGCGCAATAATCAACGGTAGAGTGAAATGAAAAAAGTTTGCATTTCATCGCCAAGCCAAGCCAAGGCAAATCGTACGTTGCATAAACAAATTAATGATGTTGCATGGCACAAACTTCTTGTTCTTCTTCTTTGGGTAAAGCCGTTGAATGGTCGGAGTTGAAACCGCAGCGTTAGTGGTCTGTTGGTTCTTTTTTCCTACTATTTACTGCTGTCCTTATTTCTTTGCCACATACATTTTTTCTTAGCTCTCACCGGCAAGTATGCAATAATTACTTGTTTTTCGTGAAAAGAAGGAAACAAAAAGATAATGAAAAAATACACTTACCGCACCAACTTGCCACTTTCATGTCTCGTTGCATGCCAACTTTTTTGCGTCTGTTTCCGACTTCCTTTTTATATCACGAATAAAAAATATGGAAAGAAAGAAACATAAAAAGCTACACTTTCTTTAAGCAAGACGTGTGAAAAGCCACTAGTGCGGCGTGGGAAAGGGGGCTTGAGCATGACTGCAAGGAGCTTCTGCGCCTTGTTTTTAATTATCTGCGCGTGTTGCATGCATTTCCCGTCAGAATAGGGCATTCACCGCAACAGTTGTTGATGGCTTTACAGGCGTTTTCAATTTATCAGGCATATGTATAGGCGAAAATTTTATATCCACTGTTGTTAATTTGCATTGTTTTTGCTTTTTTTGTTGCTAGTAGTTAGCGAATGCAATAACAAAGTGATAATTATGTGCAAACTAGTCACTTCCTGCCATATTTTCAAAAGCATATGTGCGATTGTATATTTCTTCATATGAGCATGTATATATGAGTATCTTTTTGTTGTTTAAATTGAACTGATTCAGCAAAAATAATAGCAAATTGATATTTTTGTAGCGAAATGCGAAATATTTTGAAAGTTTAAGAAGTGTTTTTGCAGGAAACAACATCATAAAAAAGTATAAAACCGAAACTTTTGTTACTTAAATTCTATGCAATTAACTAAATTTATACTAGCTTTTTACTAGTTCGTACCATACCAGTTCATTTTTGACTAGTAACAAATTAACCAGTTTGTGCCCAGTTCGAAATTAATTAATTCTACCGCTCTTTAGGAATAAATAATTGCACTCTTTTTAGGATTTAATAATAAGCAAATGAACGTGTTCATCAGAACCACGGAACGAAGATGCCTAAAATTATGCTGCGTCTATAACAAGAGAAGCAAGTAAACATATTTGGTTAATAACATATTGAGAAAGGCTAAGGCGAATACATTTTTCTTAAACCACGTAGCACACCTGCAGGCGCCTTACCCTATTCTACAGCAAAGTTTCTATCTGAAATGTCGTGAACAGCATTATTAAAACTCCACTTTAACCCAACTCAACTTTTTTTTAATATTTTGTCACTCTCTTATGAATTCATCTACTAGTCTCCCAAATAATGACGCGACAATTGTTATTTTTCACTGATTTTTCGTACTCTTTTTATACACAATATTTTCAAGTCACCAAATAAAGAATGAGAATCGTGTGCGCTATCTGTTTTAATTTCCTGTCAATCTACGCAGCGATTGCGTTGAAAATATTCTCATATTGATAAGCAAGCAAACCTGCAAGAATACTTTTCTGAAGAAAGACTCAGTGAAGCGTTAAGGCGTTAAAGTGACAAGCGTAAAAACGATGAGCCATTGGGATAACAGTAAGAAAACAAACATAAAGCAATGAGGAGAAGAGCATCTCCTTGTAGCAAATCGCTTTCACGGAAAATCACGCATAATTCTTCTATACAAACAGCAAAATCATATCTTCGCTCTTTTCTGATTGCCTTTGCTCCTTTGAGTACACAAATAGTATATGTATATATGTATGAACGTAGCTATACCTGTTTATTTATGAGATTCTCATTTTATTGGCACAACATCTTCAGGTTGCCACGCCTAAATGTAGGCCAACATATCTATGCAGCTATACTTTGATTTATTTTGTAAAGTCATGGTGTTGATTTGATATTTGGGAATTTGTTGTGGAAAGAAAAAATTTTTTTTATGCATTTAAACATTTATTGGGCAAAATTTCAATATAAGGAGAGAATACAAGCAAAGAGGTCATCGAAAAATAAATTATATCTGAGCTTGCACAAAAATATAAAAATTTTACAAATATCTGACATGAAAAATTTTAAATCGCTTACAAAATTTCCTTTGCCAAAAACTCAAATAACTGTAAAAAATCTAATATTAACGATATAAAAACTAGAAAACAAGTAATAGAAATAAAAAACTGAAACAATTTGAAAATAAAAAGTTAAAATATAAAAAATAAAAGGCAAAAATCAAAAATCATAAGTTAAAATAATTAAAACAAAATATATAAAACTGAATCTTAGAAACTGTAAAATTAAAAATCAAGTTAAATAAAAATTAAAAATTAATAATCAGTTTCTCAATCCTAAACTTTAAAAACTAACAATTCAGAATTAGAAAACTGTGATATTAAAATATCAAAAAATAAAAACTTAATATTAAGCATTAAAGAATAACAATTAAAAATTTAAGTTAAAAATTAATATTGCAACCCCAAAAATTAAAAAAAATACTACTTAGTAATTAAGAATTAATTAAAAACCAAAAGTTAAAAATTAGAAGTTAAAAATTTATAAAAGAAATTTAAAAGTTTGTCATTAATAACTTACAATTCAAATTTAAACAATTAATTATCAAACATCAATTAAAAATAATAATAATTACAAATTATAATTTAAGTTTCAAAACTAAAGAAAATTAAAATAATAACAAAAATAAAAAAAAAATCCAATTGAAAACAAACCCTTAAATTTAAACACTAAAAATTAATAATTAAAATTTAATAATTAAAAATTAAAAATTAATAACTAAAACTTGCAAAATAAATTTAAAAAAAATTTACTAATAATAAAAAACCTAAGTTTGAAACTTAAAAAAGACTTAAAATAAGCAATTAAAAAAAATAAAATATTTATAAAAAACTAAATTAAAAACAAAATAACAAAATTTAAAAACTTTTAATTTAGAAATAAATATCAAAAATAAAAGCTGTAAGTTAATAATTAAATAAAAAAATACTAATCAAACTTAATGCTCAGAAATTAAAACATTTGAAAAATTAAAAATAAAAGTAAAAAAAAATTCAAATAAAAACCAAAAAAAAAACTAAAAATTAAAAGCTAAAAATTAAAAATATTAATTTAAAACAAATTTAAGGTAAAAAAAATTAATTTAGATTTAAATATTAAAATTAAAAATTTAAATTTTATGTGGACCTTATAAGTTTCAAATTAAAAATTTATTATTAAAAATAAAAAATTGTAGAAAATAATTAAAAATCCAATATTAAAGCACTTATAATTATATTTAAAAAATTTAAATATAAAATTTTTTAAGATTCAAAAATTAATTTCTTAGCAATCGTTACTGCAAACCCTAATTCAATTTATTAGCAAGCCGATTTTATATACCTCTTTCCATACAAGCGCACGAAACACCAGTTGTTAACTAGTTACTATATAGTTCCACTTGCTATTGGGTGCAATAAAATTAAATTTGCTGAATGATGCGTTATTTAAATTTTTCATTAAATAAATTATTAATTTATGTAATGTAATATATTATTAGCGCTTATGATATATATCCAATCAATTTTGAAAGCGAAATAAACAATATTTTCACAATATTTCCTTTGTGTTGCCATTATTCGCGAATAAATCATTCATAAATGAGACTGCAAATAACATAAATTTGTGCACAAAAACTAAATGAATTTTTATGCACTTAAATATGCAATTTGCAATGAACTAATTTTTTTTTGTTTGTGTAAGTTTTTTTTTACCATTTTTACCACTGAAGCAGTTGAATTTATATTATCCATTAATGCCCTCTGTGCGGCATCAAAAAATCGGAAACAAAAATTCACGAAAAACACTTTAAATAATTAATGATTAATCGGATGTTATTTTCATACGTTTTCGCGCTTTCCAGCTTTGACAGAAGTGCGAATTATTTAAAACAAATTCCTAATTGAGAATGCATAATTTGAAGTATAAAAAACAATAGATATTACCAAAATCATTTTAGTTTTTTTATTGCATGTAAGCTCTTCAATCATTTAATGGAAATGAACATTTATTTTACAAAAATTAGGTCAACATTGCAATAAAACTTTAGTTCAAGCTACGAACATTCTGCCACAGCTGGAAATTTTTTCAAAACTTTTCACCTCTCACTACATGCGTACCTTTGACACTAATGAGCTCAGGCGCTGCCTTCAACTGTCACACGAATCAGCGAGAAAGCTATGCCTGAATTGAACTTTTTTGCGCTCTAACACTACAGCGACATTTTCCACTCAAAAGTTTTTGTACAACGGCAATTTTTAGTAAATTTCTAGAATTTGCGTACACCTACCGAATCCGGGCTTTAAAGTTTTAATTAAACTAAAAATCTTTGTAACTTTTAAATGTTGAATGATGTATTCATTTTGCTAAGCATTTTGAAAGCAAAATTTGTTAATTTTTTTATTAGTTTAAATAGAAGTTGAGTTTTATGTATTTTAATGAAAACAAAAATTATTTAATTTTTTTGTTTGTACTCATTTGCAGAAGATTGTTCAACCATCACCGACATCACCAATAACATCATCTGCGAGTCTCTCAGCAACGCCAAAAGACGAAATTTATATTGACGATGAGAGCATTGAAGGATCAGGCGGTCGTGGCGGGGTAAGTGAAATTTTGAAAATTATTCTTCAATTTTTTTTTAATTTTTCGAAGCATTTCAAATGCGGTAAATATGTCTAAATATGACTAAATTTTCTAAAATTTTTAAAAATTCGAAAATATTTATATTGAATATGCTAAGAAATTTGCAATATACTCTTAAATAAGTTTTTGTATTAAAATTCAAGTTTTATATTGAGAAATTTACCCAAAAAATAGGCGCCTAATTGTATAGTAAATTAAAAAAATGCGTTACTTTCCTCAGAAAAAATATTTTGTTGTGCTCAAAAACAAAATAAAATCAATATTATAGAAATTAAAATTTAATGAAAAAATATATATTTTCGCCAAAAAAATTGGCACCAAATCAACTCTTAGCAAATTACCAGTATATTGACAACACGAAAAATATTTAATTCAGATTAGGTTTGAAAAATTTTAAGTTAAAAATTTTGGCAGAATACATTTATTCGCCTAAAAGTATGTGAGAAAAAAATGTAAAACGCAGGGCAAACAAAAGAATTCCGGCTCAAAGCAATCATTTTCAATTGAAAAATAATAAAAAATATATTTAATCGCATAAAAACGTGCAGCAGCAAAACTGGTATTGATGGCATAAGGTTTAATTCAAAATCCCTTTCACGAATAAATAAATAATTGCCTAAATGTAGCTCACAAATTAGATCCAAAAATCACTAAACATTCGATTAAGAGCAGAAAAATGTAGTTTAATTAAGTTTAAAAAACATTAACTCAAATTAACGCTGAGATTAATAGTTCGCCTAAAAGCATGTGAAATTTTTCTCTTAATTTCAATTTCTGATTTTTTTCTGACTTATTTTTTTGTTCAATCTAGGCAACAAAATGTTAAACGAAAACTCATTTTTGAATAGTTCGCCGCTTTAAAGTATTTAGTTTTCAAAAAGACGGTGTTTTTATTATTTCAACGCCTAAAAGTATGCAACATTGAAGTAAAGTTGTTCATTAGAAAAATGTGTTTGCATTATAAAAAAATTTCGAGAAAATTTTCTCTGATTGTATTCACATTTACAACTGCAAACATATGAGCTAAAAGATATGCAATTCCAAAAAAAAATGTGGATGTGAAACTTGAAAAAATGTAAACATATTACATAAGACGCTGCCTCAGATGCAGTTTATATAAAAACAAGTCATAGAAAATGTTTTCCTTTGCATAGAAATTTAAGCACACAGCATTTAAATATTTATAGGTGTACACTCATGCATACACCCTGCAAGAAATTTAATGAAGTTCATAATTAGTCTCAATTTGGTCCAGTTTTTATAGTCAAGTAACGAACTATTAATAATTATTTTATTCTCGCATATTCCTGGAAGATGCTGAGGACTCTTAGGAACTACAAACTCATATCAAAGATTAAAAACAATCTCAATTTTCGTAGCAGGGATACTACTTGCTTTCCTCTTTATGCATAGTCCCTTGCAATGCAGTCATGTTTACCACGCCAAACAAACCAAATACTGGCATGTCGTGTTGGGGAATGTTGCAATATTTATATATATATTTATATATATTTATACTTTAAAAGCTCGTGTACTCCTATGTAAGTGCACTGAAATAAAAAAAAATGCAATTTTGAAAAAATAAGAAAAGTAATTTAAAATTTAAGCTAACTTCAGTTTCCGTTGCATACTTCGGGGCGCTCGCACCAAACACTGCAAAAAAACAACAAAAAGTCTCTTTTTCAGCACATTAACGCTGAAATCATCATTACTACATACTGAAATAAAAGAAATTTTTTAACTACCTTCCAACTTAACAGTTCACCAGACGCTAGTACACCACATAGTGTCGACTATTTATCTGCCCCCAAAGCTTTGTCGGTTGATAAACTTTCTTTCCTTTCTTCATTTATTGCCATTTGTGGTTTAAGTTGTTTTCTTTTCCCTTCACTTTGCTTCACTTCCTTTCCCGCGGCTGCACACTTTTATATTCCTTTCTGCTATCTTTCATTGTTTCAACTTTTGCTCCCATTGGCATCATACACCGCACAGTACAACAATCACAATTTAACTAGACCGTGTGCCAGTTACATCCTGCAACATTCTACGATAATTTTTAATAGTTCACAAAATAATGGTTGCTGCTGCAGAGAGATCTCCTCGTACTCGCGCTCATGTAGACCTTGCTTTCGTGGTGACTAAATAAGGAGGTGATGATACTCACTCTATGTGAGTGCACTCAACTGTGAACGGGTATGTTCATGGTTTGTAAGATTCATGGCTGTAAAGATTTCATTGCTAACTTATTGGCTCTTGGCCAGCCGTCGAGGTATTAAATCCTGGTGTATGGCTTAAAATATTAGCGCAAAGACACAATGTGTGGAAAAATGCTGCAAATGTTGCAAATATCAGGCAAATTTTAAATCACTTTCAACACTCCACTGCAGCGCATTTAAAATATTTTGTTTAAAAATTTTGTTATTTTATTTTATTCATTTAATTTATATATGTATCTATTCAAGTTTCTTATATTTTTCCATAAAAATCAATTTCTTACTGATTCTATTTCAATCACTGTCAATCACGCTATATTTATAATGAAAGAATTTAGTAAAAACGAGTATTACAAGCACCACTTAATACCACTAAAATCTCCCAACCTCTATTGCTACATCGTGCTTTATCCTCTATCCCTTGTCCCGCTTCACTCAATTGTCTGCTATACGTGCTGTTAGTACATTTCAAACTTTATTTGTCACCACTCACCGAGAGCACGCAAAAGAAAAATTCTGCGAAAAAGTCATTTAATTAAATTTCATGTCATGTTTTCCCAACAGGCGCGCAAACAGCAACAGCGCCGTTCGCCGCCACCATGGCTTTGTATTAAAATTTCCAATTTTTTTTTTCTTTGTTTTATTTGTTGTCAGTTCAAAATTAATTTAGTGGCTTGGCGTAAGCAGCGCATAAAATTGACATGCGTTGTCTGCTGCCATTCTCTGTGCGATATCCGCCACTGGTTCGCAGCGCCCTGGGCAGCTGGCTATGTCCTCGTTTTTGTTTTATGCAGTTGCAGTTGACAACACAAATATTTTGCGTTCTTCTATTTGTATGTGTATTTGATATCCTTTCATTTAATTTCATTAATCATAAAATTCACATGTTCGCTCTGTCAAAATGAAACACACTTCTCTATTCATCACTTGCATATAATTGCTTTAGTAAGGGAGTCACATAATTTTATTGGTGTATTAATGTCGCAAAAAGGAAAAACAATGGAGAAATTTCAGTGAATTATTTTCTGAGAATATATGTAAATAATAAGCTCCCCCTGTTTTCAGTTTATTTTGAATTAAATATGTTTAAAATCAATTAAAGTGGCTGTGTTATTTAAGTGGGTGTGCGTCTGTACTAATTTTATCTTATGCCGCCCCCAAATGTTATATTGTCATTTTATTAAAAAAAATCCGAATTTCCTAGGCAACTTTGCAGTGTTATCACGAATTAAGTGATAAATCGACAAACATAACATAGTACATACAAACATAGTACATACATAAATAACTTATTTGTTATTCCCCCTCAAAACTCATCATACCGAAGTGATGGGAATTGTTTCAGCCAAAAAAAACACGCATTGTTTTATTTATTGTTTTATTTATTTTATTTTATTTTATTTTATTTTATTTTATTTTATTTTATTTTATTTTATTTTATTTTATTTTATTTTATTTTATTTTATTTTAATTTATTTTATTTTATTTTAGTTTTTTATTTTATTTTATTTTATTTTATTTTATTTTATTTTTATATTTATTTTTAATGTTATTATATTTTTTTTATTTTATTTTATTTTATTTTATTTTATTTTATTTTTATTCTTTATTATATTTGATTTTTTTTTATTTTATTTTATTTTATTTTATTTTATTTTATTTTATTTAATTTTTATTAAAGTTTTTAATTTTTCTAAATTTATTTTATTTTATTTTATTTTATTTTATTTTATTTGAAATAATTCAGAACGGCAAACTTATAAAATTTTATTTTATTTTATTTTATTTTATTTTATTTTATTTCAAAGCAAAATAATTTGCATCGCTCAGCATGTTTATTTTATTTTATTTTATTTTATTTTATTTTATTTAAGTACTTTTCGCAACAGTTCCATAACAAATTTTATTTTATTTTATTTTATTTTATTTTATTTTATTTACATCTACAACTTCCTCTGCCACTCGCGCTGTTGCTGATATAATATCCGCCTTCGGGATATGTTGCTCCTATGTAAGCATATCCTTTGCGCTATAAAGGTTTATTTTATTTTATTTTATTTTATTTTATTTTATTTATAGACTCAACTCAACGCAACTCAACGCAACTTTATTTTATTTTATTTTATTTTATTTTATTTTATTTCAAAGCGGCAGCGTACCTACAAATATACTGCTTTATTTTATTTTATTTTATTTTATTTTATTTTATTTTGTGTGTTTGTGGAAAATAAATTTCCGTAATTTTATTTTATTTTATTTTATTTTATTTTATTTTATTTTTTAATGCACACACAAACATATATGTCCACGTACATACATATATCCGCTGCAGAGCGAAAGTAAGTGCAGCGCTCACATTTAACATTTGTCCGTTGCCATTTATTTTATTTTATTTTATTTTATTTTATTTTATTTGCTACTTCCTTTACAACTTTTTACGGCGATTTTTATTTTATTTTATTTTATTTTATTTTATTTTATTTGCTTTTGCATGCAATTTTCTAAAGTGCTATTTTTATTTTATTTTATTTTATTTTATTTTATTTTATTTGCACTACGAGCTACCAGTACAGTGAAATTTCTTTATTTTATTTTATTTTATTTTATTTTATTTTATTTCAGCAACAATAATAATAAAAGCAAAAACAACTTTATTTTATTTTATTTTATTTTATTTTATTTTATTTTGTGTAGAGACCAGCACTGGGTCAGTTTGTGGCAGCCAAAGTTGTTGGGACAACCGAC